CTGTCACCCCCGTGTCACCCGCTGTCACCCACCTTGACCTCCACGATGACCGTCTTGGCCACCGGCTGCATGAGGTGGCCCACGGTGAAGAGACGGCAGAGCACTGCGAGGGGACACGGGGACAGGGACAGAGGGGACACAAAGGACAGGGCGGGGACACGGGGCACAAGGTGAGAGGGGGCACAGGTGTCCCCACAGTGTCCCCACCCCCCAGGTGTCCCCAGGTGTCCCTGCAGTCCCCAGGTGTCCCTGCAGTGTCCCTGCAGTGTCCCTGCAGTGTCCCCAGGTGTCCCTGCGGTGTCCCCGCGGTGTCCCTGCAGTGTCCCCGGGTGTCCCCAGGTGTCCCCCGGTGTCCCCCGCGCTCACCGGTGGCCCCGGGGGTGTAGATGGGTTTGTCGGTCTGCAGGAAGATGTGGCCGCTCTGCAGGGACACCAGCAGCACCTTCTCCAGTGTCACCGCGGCCACCCGCGCTGTCACCGTCACAAACTGCTTCTTCTGAGCCGGCGGCAGGAGCTTGGCCGACACCTGCGGGGACATTGGGGACACTGGGGACACGTGTGGGGACACTGGGGACACTGGGGCACTGGGGACAGGGGACAGCGGGTGGCAGCCATGCCCAGGAAATGGAGCTGAGGACACTGGGGACAGTCCCCGTGGTCACCAGGAGTGACCGTCCCCTCCTGTCCCCCACCCCCGGTTCAGGGTTCAGCCTCAGTTTCCCCGCCCGGGCAGCGACCGCTGTGACAATGGCCCGGGACAGTGACCGGGGGAGGTGACAGTGACCAGGGGCGGTGACAGTGACACCGTACCTTGATGGTGGCCGTGGCCATCATGCCCTCGGCCGGGCTCAGGGCCAGCCGGCTCTGGAACAGCACCTGCCGCTTCTGGGGGAAGTCCTGGACCAGCAGCGAGGCCTCGGTGGCCGCGCTCAGCCCGGGCGCCTCCAGCACCACCCGCTCGTCCGTGTCCAGCCGCAGCACGGCCGGGGTCACCATCGTCACCCTGGGGACAGCGCGGGGCTGCGGGGGTGGCACGGCCCCGGAACCCCAAACCTGTCCCCAGGGCACCCGGGAACCCCAAACCTGTCCCCACAGTGACCCAAAAACCCCAAACCTGTCCCCACAGTGACCCGGGGACCCCAAACCTGTCCCCACAGTGACCCGGGAACCCAAACCTGTCCCCACAGTGACCCAAAAACCCCAAACCTGTCCCCACAGTGACCCAAAAACCCCAAACCTGTCCCCACAGTGACCCAGGGACCTCGTGGGACCCCGTGAACCCCCTGATCTGCCCCATGGTCCTGAAACAACCCCAAATCCCTCGATTTCACCCCAAAACCCCCCACTGCGCC